GCGAGCCGCCGGCGGCTAGCAGCCGGGAGGCAGAGTGGCTCGGAGTGAACACAGGGACGAGTGTGGAGGGGAACGGGTGAGGCTGCTCCCTACCTCGTACTCCTTCCGCTGTTCCAGGGCCTTATGAATCCATTTCAGCCTCTTTTTATCCGAGAGTTGAGACCACTGCTTGCCCAGCGACTCTTTCACCTCCTTCGTGGTGGCCTGAAAACCCAAAGCCAGAGGTGAGGGCAGAGGGGTACAATCCAAAAAAAGAAGAGGGGGAGAAAAAAAAAAAAAAAAGGAGGAAAAAATAGTGTTCCCCGCCATCTCGTCCCGGCGGCACCCAGCTTGGGGCCGCGGGGTGGCTGCAAGCCGAGCTTGCGGCCGGGGAAGGGTGTGCGTGCAAGTGAGGGGCATGGCCAGAGGTGGACGTCTGTGCTGGAAATCCTTCCTGCCCTGACTCAAGGCTGCGGTCACCCCTTCAACTGCAGGCAAAAAGTGGGGTTCTGTATCCCCGAGCCTCTTCCAGATGTGCAGAGCCCTTTCTTACCTCCGTCCAGACTGCTGGGAGCTTCTAGCGGTGTCTTCCTTCCCGTCCCCCCCCTAAAATGCTTCTCTCATTTCCCCCTCCTCTCCCCAGCAGCAGCGGGGTACAGGACCCCTCGACACTCACTCTCACACGCACTCCCACCCACCGTACTCACATCTGGACGCACTTTCAAGTAGATCTTCTTCTCGTGGTTGTACCACAACTGCTGGGGGGTCTTGGGTTTTTCAGGGACGTCAGATTTCTTGGCGTTCTGGATGAGATCCGGGTGATCTTCCCTTTACCCGGCAGGGAGGCGGCGAAGGGAGAACGTTACAGAGGTTGCAGGTGGAAGGAGAGCACCCCCTAAACCTCCCCGCTACAGGGTAACCTGCAGGGTTGAGCCTCTACGGGCTCAGGGGGACCCCAAAAAGAGCAGGAGGGTTTTAGGAGAGATTCGAGCCTGCCCCTCCTGGGGCAGCATCGGCTACAAGCACCCCCTTTAATGCGCCAGGCTGGGCTGCATCCCTGGAGCAGCGGCAGGTCATCGGGAACGCCAGGATCCACCTGGGCCACAGAGACCACGTTCAAAGGGAAGGTCTGGGGGGAACGGGGCGGTTGCTTCAGCTTTTAATGGTGCCGGTGGCCCGGCTCCTGTCCTCCCCTCGCAGACCCTAACCCCCAGAGTGCCGCTGGTCCTCCGCTCTCTCCTCCTCACCAAGTCTCCCAGCTGGAAGGTTGCTCTCAGACACCTTTTCTTTGCTCTTTTTTTTTTTCAGCATCCCCCCTTCCCTCCTGCTTTCAAGCCGCAGCGCCCATCAGGGCTTCCTCCATGAGCTACGCGCAGGAGGGGACACTGGGTCTGCCTGGAGGGGCCTGGGGAAATGCCGGGGGGGCTGCCCGCTCACCTGAACCTCGCCAGGTTCCTCTCAAACTCCTGCTTCTCTCGCTGGAAGTCCTGGATGTATTTCATCTGGGGACACAAAGCCACCGGGGGAGTGGAGAGGGACGTCAGCACTGGGGAATGGGCAGGCAGATACCTCCCTGTCGACCCTGCCAGCTGGGCACCCCCCCCAAAGGGACTCAAGGGCTCTCCAGCCCATCAGACTGGGCCTGCAGCTCCCAGATGAGGGCTTCCAGCCCACCCAGGGATTCAGAGGCAGCATCTCCCCTGTCTCCCTGCCCTTGAGCAGCCCTGGGCAGCAGGGCACAGCAGGACTTTGTGCCCTGGACCTTTCCTGCTGGTGGCAAACCCACCCAGACCGAGCGCCGGGGCACCCAAAACGCCTGCCCGGCCTCTGGCCAAGCCCAGGGCCACCTCCAGAGCTGGAGGCGAGGTGGGCAGCTCTCCTCCCAGCGTCTCCCACAGCTTGGGGCAGAGCCTGCCCCCCCATCCCTCGCTCGGACAGGGCGACCACGGCGAGGTGTGTGATTTAACCCCAGCGTTAAATACAGATCCACCCGACAGCAAAGTCACCATCCAGGCCCATCTGGAAGAGACAGACCAACGGACAGACCCAGCTAGCCTCCACCCCACGGATCCTGGGAACCAGGACAGAAAAAGGAAAGGAAGTCTTACTGGTCCGACAGGACTGAACAAGCACCCGGCTTTCTCCCATCAAGAGCCGGATTAAACCCTCGCCAGGCAGAGGCTGGGCTCTGCTGGTTTTTCTGGGAGAGCTGGGCAGGCAGAGCCCAGCACAGAGGCACACAAGTGGGAAGGGGCTTGTTGACTCCCCCCGTACCTTTTTCTTCTCGGGAAGCTCCTTGTATTTCTTGGACAGGATCTTGGTGAGATCCAGGTTGCTCATTTCGGGGTGAAGCTTGGCATATTTGGCCCGCTTCTCCATGAAGAAGCGGAAATAGGGAGTCAGGGGCTTCTTGGGGAAGTCGGGGTGTTTCTGGGGAGACAGCAGAGCGGCAGACACTGAGCGCGGAGCTGGCGGCACCGCGGAGGGCACAGCCAAACCCCGCTGGCTCCCAGCTCTCCCCGGTACTGCGGGAGACCTGCCTCCATCCAGCCCTGCCGTGGATCCAGCTCCCTGACATGGGAACACCCTGGCTTTGCAGGCAAGGGAGGGGGGAAACACTGGGAACAAGGGCTCCCTTCCCCAGGAACTACAATATCCCAGGGCTGGGTATCTCGGGAGCAGCCTCCGGCCATCCAGAGCTGTTAGCACAGAGCAGTTGTGCTGCAATAGGGGAAACTGAGGCAGGAGGAGGGGACGGGACTCACCTCCCAGGGAGGGCCAGTGGCAGGGCATCGGCTGCCCTGGAGCTGCCTGGCCAAAAGCAGCACCCCACCCGACCGGGCAGGCCAGGAATAGGACGGCAGCTTCCCGGCCTCCCCGGTGCTAAACTTGGATGCAGGCTGCCAGCAATACAGCCGGCCATATTAAATGTACCCTGGACTTGGCCCGGGCCCAGAGCCCGCGGCCTCCGGAGCCTTGGGCAGCCGGCCGCGGGGATTACGGGCGGTGAGGTGCCTGCAGGGGCTCTGGCAGCAGAGCCACGTGGGTCTGGGGTGCCACACGGGTGACAGCCCCCCGTCCCAGGGAAGGGGGAGGCCCCCCTTTAGGGACTGACCCCAATTCCTGCCCGATACCTTGAGCTTTTTGCCCTTGTAAGGATTCTTCACATGCTCTTCAGCATCCATAATGAGCTCTGTGAGGGTCCGAAACTTCCTCACCTGCGGGGTAACAAAGGAACACAAACGTGAACAGGCTGCACGCAGGGGACAGGGCAGATCCCCCCTTGGCACCGAACCACGCTCGGCACGGCATAAACCCACAGGGTTTCGTAATGCCGCCGTGCAAATGACCCATCCCAGCACCTCCGAAGGGTTTGCAACACCAATGGCAGCAGGATGGTGTCAGCACTAAGGGCCGAGGACTCAGGGTGTGGAACTCGAACGATTCAAACAGCCCTGGGAGGTCACCGGGACGCTTGGTCCCTCTCGCAGACCCCTCTGAACCCCATGCGGCAGTCGGTTACCTCGTTAGAAATCTCCATCCACTTCATCTTGCACATCTCCCCAGAGAAGTCCTTGAAAGCCACTTTCTCCCAATCCAGGTGGGACTCGGTGGTTTTGAACTTGCTCCCGTCGTTGGAGGGCAGGTTATTCTTCATGCACTCCAGCAGAGTCAGCATGTCCTCCTGAGACCAGCGGTCTGAGCAGCAAAGAAACAGACTTAGCAGCAGCGACGGGCAGGCAGCCTTCCTGGCAGGACACGGGGACTACAGTTCCCAGCGTGCAGCTCCGGACCACACGCCGGGACACGTAATCTCCACATGCTGCCTCTCGAGATTAAAGATCAAAGGGACATGGCTGTTTCCATCACCCTCGAGCAACTTTCTACGGGCCAAAACAATCCAGGCAAAGCTAGAAAATCCACTCGGTGCAAACCAGAGAGACTCGCTCATCCCAGTACACCATCAGATAAGGCGATGGCTCTGCCACACGGGAGCAGAGGGCCACTCCGATGCACAGGAGCAAAGCCCTGCGGAGCGAGATGGGAGCGACATGCTCTGCAGCCAAGGAGGAAACAGGGAAACCCACTTTCTAAGTGGAAAAGATGTGTCCGGAGCAATGGGGAACCCCCCAGCGCTGCTTTTCCTTCAACTCGGAGAGCCTTGCCATCACCTGGGACCTAGCTCCGTGTTGACCTCTGCCAAGGTCAAAGCTCAGAGACCACAAAGCGGGGAGGGGGCAGAGCCCAGCACAGCCCCGCTGCCTCGCAGCAGGGTCCCTGACGGGGCAGGGTGATGGCTATGCCACCCCAACATCCCCCGAGCTGCCGGGAGGAGCGTCCCCAGCTCCCACGGGGACAAGCTGCCAGGATGGCGGGGACGGGCACATGGCAAAGCCAGGGAGCCTGGAGCAACCGGGAGGCCAGGACGGGCAGCAGCCCCACGCCAGGGCAGGCAGCGGGCAGGATATCCCAGCACCGAACGCCCCATCCAGCACCGACTTTGGGGCTGCTTCCTCGCCAGGGGAATTCCTCTGCCGGGCTCTCTGCTCCGAGCTTCCACGCCAGCTGGGGAGAGGAGCCCGAGGTGCTCCGCAGAGATGGGTGGCCCTGGGGAAAAGCAGCGGGCCCTGGGAGCAGAAAGAGAGGTCCCCGGGGACGGGCTGCAGGAGGAGCAGAGCTCCGAGCTGCCTGCCCACGCGGCCCTGTCTGCTTCAGCCCGGGACGGGCACCCGAGCCCAAGGGCTCCCCGGGCGCAGGACTGGCTCTCCACAGCGCTCCCTGCCCCACATCACTGCCAGGAGGAGACTGGGGCGTTCGGAGCTGCCTAAGGGGCACAGAGCATCTCGGCGAGACGGGGACAGCGCAGCCGGTCATGGATTCGAGGGGAACATCTCTCTCTGCCTCTGCCCCCAGGAATGCAAACAAGCCCCCTGAAAAACCCATCTGGCTCCCCTGCTGAAACTCCACGAGCAGGAAAACACC